ACTTTAGCTGTATTGCCATTAGCAACAATAATTTAAAATATCATCACTAAATAAAATCTGAAGTTCAGTTAATAGTAACAGACCAACACTGGTTTCTTAGTTTTGACAAATCTGCCTTGGTGACGTAAGATGTTAACTTTAGGGGAAGAGATGGATGAGGAGTGTACGGGAACTCTATTGTCTCAGCAACTCTTCTCTACATCTAAAATTATTTCACCTTTATCTATTTATTTATATATTTTTTCAGGCACAAGGTCCTACTCTGCCACCCTGGCTGGAGTGCAGTGGTGCAATCATAGCTCACAGCAGCCTCGAACTCCTGGGCTCAAGTGATTCTCCCGCCTCAGCCTCCTGAGTAGGTGGGATTATAGGTATGTGCCACTGCATGGGGCTAATTTAAAAAAATTTTCTTCTAAGACACAGGGGTCTCACCATGTTGCATAGGCTTGTCTCGAACTCCTGGCCTCAAGTGTCCCTCCCATCTCAGCTTCCCCAGTTGCTGGAATTACAGGTAAAATTATTTCAAAATAAAAAGGTTATTTTTAAAAAAAGATCAGGCCAGTTGGGTGGCTCACACCTATAATTCCAGTGCTTTCGGGGGCTGAGGTGTGAGGATTGCTTGAGCCCAACAGTTCGAGACCAGTCTAGGCAACATAGCAAGACCCAGTCTCTACAAAAAAATTAAAAAATTGGCTGGGCGTGATGGCATACACCTGGAGTCCAGATTACTCGGGAGGCTGAGGTGGGAGGATCACTTGAGCCCACGAGTTTGAGGCTGCAGTGAATTGTGATTGCGCCACTGCACTCCAGCCTGGGAGACAGAGCAAGACCCTGCTTCTTTAAATAAATTAAATAAATAAATAAATATTTTAAAAAAGATCAGCTTCCCCCCTTTCTGTGTGCAGGCTAGTACACTAAGTCCTTTACAAACATTGACCCATTTAGTTTGCGTAGCAGCCCTAGGAGGTAGACTCCAATCCACATTTTACAGATGAGAAAAAAGGCTCAGCCAGGTCCCCAACAGTGGAACACAGATCTCAGGTGGTGGGATCTCGAATTCGGATCTTACCCATCCCAATCGACATGGGCCGACTTGTGTTCCCACACCACAAATGAAAAAAAAAAGAAGAAAAAAAAAGTGTGTATACACATACATACATGTGATACACACACACGGTCTGTCAGGAACCCCGTGTGACCTCCTTTGTTAATAAACTTCCCTTTGATCCACTCCACTCGTGTGCTCATGGCTCACGTGTTCTGCAAGGTAGACTGGCGGTGCCACTCCGTGCTCCCGGACACGGCACCTGCATCTACGAGAGCCCTGGCCCTCGCTGCCTCTGATAGCACAAGTCCCCCGTGGGCGCAGCCTGACACTCCCACACTCACCTACCCACTCACTGAAATGTTCCTTCATTCGACTCTTGTAGAATAAAGAGACAAGAATTATAACCAGTCTGTGACAGGCAACCTGAAGAATCATAGAATTTTAGGTTTGTCAGAGGCCCTGCAGGGTCAATTGCTCCAGAAAAGGTCTTTATCACAGTCATGCCAAGAAGGACTTTAAAACCACAAATTTCTGGGTTTCACCCCCGAAGTTCTGATCCAAGAGGGCTGGAAAGGGCCTGGCAATCTGCATGTTTCTTTTTTTTTTTTGAGACAGAGTCTCACTGTGTTGCCCGGGCTAGAGTGCCATGGTGTCATCCTAGCTCACAGCAACATCAAACTCCTGGGCTCAAACGATCCTCCTGCCTCAGCCTCCCGAGTAGCTGGGACCACAGGCATGCGCCACCATGCCCGGCTAATTTTTTCTATATATTTTTAGTTGTCCAATTAATTTCTTTCTATTTTTAGTAGAGATGGGGTCTCGCTCTTGCTCAGGCTGGTTTCGAACTCCTGAGCTCAAACAATCTGCCCGCCTCGGCCTCCCAGAGTGCTAGGATTATAGGCGTAAGCCACCGCGCCCGGCCAACAATCTGCATTTTTCAAAGCCCCCTTTCTGGACCCAGAGCCCCAGTGACCCTGATGCACTGCCTGGTTTGGGGTTTTGCTCAACAGATGAATCCCTTCTGGAAAGGGACTGCCAGCCGCCGCTGCAGACCCCGAGGTAGAGGAGCTTCTCTCTGCTGTGCTGCACTCAGTCCTAGGAACCCTTTTTAATAAGCAGGCAATGTTGACAGCTACAGATGCAGAGAGACACTGGTTTCTCTCTTTGTTAGCCTGCTGGCTCACGCCAAACTCACTGCCACTCAGCCTTTTCCCTTGGAATCCCTGCCAAGCCAGGTCTTCCTCATGGTGCTGGAGGAATTGATTAGACGAACTTGACTGCAGCCCTTTCCACGGAAGCCTGGCAAGTGTCATCTATTGGTCTGGGTCCACAGTCACAGGGCTACTGCAGGTCATGTCACTTGAGCTGATTGTTGACTGACTGCTCTCTCTCTAGCTCTGAGTCTTTTACATGTGTCTGGTATCTTCTGTAAAACATGGGTACGATGATGGATTTTTGGAAGATATGCTATTGAAAACCCTCTGGGAATCAAATGACATCAGCTGCTTTCTAAGCAAGTGGATATTCTTTCACAGATAAGGGCCAGATGCTAAAGATTTATGGTCACAGAAAAATCCATGAGTATGGCATTTATTCCTAAAATGAGATGTATCAGACAGTTCTCTAAATCTCTCTCCGGTGGTGCCCTCCAGTGGAGGAGCCAGCTGAAGCTTCCATGATGCATCTGATAACTGCAAACTGATGACATCTCCTGTGTGCGGCCTCTCCAAAGTTATTTAAATCAACTGCCGCATAGATGGAAACTGCTGTAGTGACACCAGCTTGAGCTGCTCAGAGCCTACAGGAAGATTTAAGACTGTGTTAACACCTATCTGACAGGCCAGGACACAAACGGTTAAATGGGTTCTCCAGAGTTGGAAGGTCTTTGACGCGGTGACGGTGATGAGAACGTGAGGGACAGAGGCATCAGAACAGGGACGAAGCAGCATGCAGGATGTGATCGAAAGGTTCCAGGTCAAGTTTGGAAAGTTAAAGTTAGATTTTGTAGAAATTTTATTTTTAATTTTGAAAAGTGGTATTTCTCTTATAGTCACGATACCAAGACTCTTGCCAGCTAACATGGCATTTTCAATTATTTCCCACTTCCAGGGAGGCTGACTTTGTACCTTCTGTTTCTCTGTTCTGGTTGCACTCTCCCCCCTGGGGCCTCTTAGGAAAGCCCGCCACCTCTTTCTCTCAAGGGAAGGCAAATTGCACAGGAATTATCTTCCAGGTGTAAAAAATGTACAAAGCTAGACACCACTTAGCGGGACCAGAGAGCTCCCGCTGGCCCCAGCACACTGGCTTCGTGAGGCAGGGCAGCAGCTCTGCTCAGCTGCTAAATTGAAACTCGAATGCCACAGTCCAGGATCACCTAAGGTCCCCAACCTTTTTGGCACCAGGGACTGGTTTCATGGAGGACAATTTTTCCATGGACCTGGTGGGGCAGTGTCATGGGTTGGGGGAGTTGCAGAACTCAGGCAGTGATGCGAGGCCCATTTGCTACCAGGCCACGGACTGGGGGTTGGAGACCACAGACCTAAGGCATGACAACCTCATATAGGACTCCTCCTTCGGGCCCTACAGTCACTAGATGCCTGAGACCACTTTACACCAAATTCTCAGCTGAGTGAGGATACACCATACAGTGGGTTCTATTTCTGCCAATAACACAGTAGAAGCCTTTTGCTGTTTTTTTTCCTGGCATTTTTCAAATGCATGTTTAGTAGACGATCAGCTCCTCATGTGTCTGTCTACATGTGATTGTCTCTAAAAAAAACCCTGTAAGAGTTTTTTGTAGAAGGTACTATTTTAGGTAAGGGTATATCAGATTTTGCATTCTACAGCATACAAAGTTTTTTCAGGTTTTTTGCACCTCCCAGATGAATGTTTTATTTGGTATAACCCAGAGTCAGCGAAACTGGGTGTGCTCTCCTTGGCGCCAGAGGTCAACAGGTCCGCACACGGCCTGTTGGACAAACAGAACTATTCCTCATGACAGATAGCTTTATGATAGATAACCAAGCGCCTGGGGTCTTGCAAACAAGCCAAGGCATCTCATTGTCCTGCATACGGTAATGAGGTAAAGAAGTTAAGATACAAGAAGTTAAGATGCAAACGTCTGCTTCCCTTAAGCAATCGTCTGGAAGGAATGAAAATGTGTTTCCTCAAGACGCCCAAGGTAGTCACGTACCAGGAAGTAGCTGCCGGACATAGAAAAAGTATATAATAAAGCGACTGGTAGAATTATCTATGGCAGTCTTGTATGTCCTGTGTGTGTCTGTGTGTTTCTTTCTGTGTCCATCCCCCGTTCTGCAATCCGGGCCGTGACACCTAACATTATTTTTAACCAGTCTGCTATTGATGGACATTCAGATCATTTATCTTTTAATTCTGAATCCTGCATTGGATGTGCATTTGTTCAGATGGAATTTCACACATTAAAATAGATCCTTATGCTAAACCAAGGTAAAAGTGTGTGTGCATGTGTGATGCACGTGTGTGTTATATAGGGCTCCAAATTTTTCAAAGCACCTTTTAAACACTGTGAAATATAATACACAAAACTGCACAAGACGTATGTACCTCACAAACGACCACAAAGAAGGCATCAGTGAAATACTGCCAACAGCCCCTGAAGCCTTCACACACCTCTGCTCGTTACAATCTTCACCACCCCTCCAAAAGCAACTACTATCTTTATTTTGTGATAGTCACATAATTATTGACAGAGGAAAAAAAATGCATTTTGTACAACTGTAAACCAAAGGAAAAAAATTGAAAATGAGATCCAAACACATGTACAATTTAACTGAAAATTGCTTTAAGGTGGGCTGGTCTTAAGCCTGTTTCTTTCCTTTCCTCTTTGTTCTTGCCTGCTGTTTTTAGGGACAACATAAAAATACTACTAGAGAGAGGGAGAAAAAAAACTATTGAATATAATTGTACTCACCACAGGGCAAGTCGTTGCTCAATTTCCTTGAGAAAATTGGTATGAAATTTGTGCAAAGGTTCAAAATTTGGGAATATGAGACTTTTCAATGTTTCCGGCATGGCGTCCTCTTTGCTCACTGCGCTCTGAAACCACTGGGAATAAGAAGAGGGCACACTCAGAGGTATCAAGATTAATGACAGATGTTTGCAATGTTTCAGAAAGAACACTGCAGCCACATGTGATTGACTGGAGGACCAAGGGCTTTACTGCTAGGTTCTTAATGCTTCAGGAACACAGAGGTGTCCAGGCCTCACTGCCTGCCCTGTCTTTTGTTTGAATGGTGGGAGAAGCACCCATTTCTATATGATTGCTTTCTGAGTTTGTTACCCAGTGACTGTTGAAGCCAGGACAGACCTCTTAAACGGGCAACTACTAGAACCCAAACCTCCATTCTGGCCAACTCACTGGATAATCGCTAATATATGACAACTGAATACCCCCTGCCTCGTTCCTTTAATAGCTTCCATCTCTGTTCTTCTGTTAAAATGCTGAGCACGAAGGTGGCCAAACCAGGGGGATAAAGCAGCCACCTTTGCACAAAGTCACTGCTGTCGTTGAGCTGTGTGGGATTAGGTTCCACCCTGTTTTCTGAGCACCTGCCAATGGCCAAACACAAAACACACCCCAGAAGGAACAGAAACTCGATGATTCCAATTTCCCTCCCAATTGGCTAATTCTTTCCCAGAGTCCCAGGGTCAGAAGGACATCTGCAATGCCCTGAATTTGTTTCCAAGACTTAACAGGACTGATTAGAATAATCAAAGGCATTCTTCTGGCACACTGTGCTGACATGACTCAATTTATTATTAAAGATAAGATGAGGCCCCTGTTCACCTCTGGGGTCCTCCCTCAAATAAAAATAAGTAGTTACATCTGACAATGGGCAAATATTCTAGACAGGTGCATACAGACAGTAAAATGTTTAATTTTAATTTTCTCCACCATGGGAACTTCCTTCCTTTGCAATTAAAATCACAGTCACAAAATTTTTTGTATAGTATATTCCAAATTAAATATACTATTAGCATTTAATTTCTTTACCCCAGGACCAAAAGCCTTTCAACTGAAGTCAGAGAAACCCAACATTTAATTGGCTCTAGCTTCTCTTGAAAAGCTGAGTATTAATTGAGATAAATTATGTAATTTAATGCTTTAGGGGAAACAGTGCACATACCAAAGTGATGACTTCAAGGTCTTTCAGATACGTTCGCTCAGTGGTGGATACTTCTTTAGCAATGAAGTACGCTTTGTCAGTTGGGAATCTCTGTAAAATGCATCACAAAAACCAAGACACAATAACCATTTTAGTATAAGTCTCTAAGAATGCCCTGATTAAAGTGATATATTACTAACTGGAGATCTTTTTTTAGCTGCCATCGGGCTAAATAAACTCTTATTTATTCTTTTTGTGTTAGAGAAACTAGAATAAAAGAATGGATTGCCAGGATGAGAATACAGTCTAGGAAGGTTTCCTCCCAAGTAAATATCACCATCAGCAAGAGGACTCACATTAGGAAAATGCTAGAGGAATGTAGTCCGCAAGGAAACACACAGAAGATACTCTATCGCGTCCTTTGTCCTAGTGCCTTGGACTGGCAGTGTTGGTGTTTGTAAAATGAAAGTTACTTTGCAAGAACACAGGTGGCTGGATCTAAAGGGACCTGGGCAAGATCAGCTGGTGACACCATCGTGCCTCAGTTCCCTGGAGCCTGTCAGTTAGGCAGGCAGCCGGCACCACAGCAGAGCAGGCTGGCCATCGGGGTTGCTTTCTCTTGGAACAGTAAGTACAAGGAAGTCCCTGATACCTGCCTTCTTGCTCACTTCCCCAAGAGTCCACCTGATTCCACCGCTGGGTGCGTGCACAACAGAACCAAAAGGCCTGTACACCCGTGTTCACAGCTGCGCTATCCACAGTGGCCAAAAGGAGGGAACAGCATAGCTGTGGGTGACAAAACATGGCCCGGACGCACAATGGAGCGTCACTCAGCCTTAAAGAGGAAGTCAGCTGTGACCCAAGCTAGAACATGGAGGAACCTTGAGGATGCTACGCTAAGTAGAACAAGCCAGTCACAAGTAGACAAACACCGCATGATTCCGCTTGTCCGAGGTACTTAAGAGTGGGCAAATTTATAAGCCGGGTGACAGGGAGGGATGGGACGTTAGAGTTTAATGGGTGCAGAATTTCTGTTTGGAGATGGGTGGTGGGGACGGTGGCACAACAGTGTGGATGTACTTCATGCCACTGAACTGTATGTACACTTGAAAATAGTTAAGAGGTACATTTTATGTTATATGTTACTGCAATTTAAAAACCCACACACACGGGCACACACACACACCCAGGCAAGGCCCCCTCAGCACCTTCCTCCGGCCGTCCTCCTCGTCGTCCGTCCTCGGGCAGGCCTGGTCGTTGAGCAGCGGGCTGATCAAGGGAGAGGCCTGCTTGGTGTCGGGGCTCAGGTTGGGAGACAAGGTCACGTTGGCAGGGGCGGCTCCTCCCTGCGAGTTGACGGACAGCTCTGAAAGGTGAGGGCTACCAGTCAGGGAGCCTGTTTGGAGATGAGAAGTTTTAAAGAAAAGAAAAAAATCATTTTTTCTGGGATCTGATTTCTATTCACTACTTTCACCTTTTCAAACCTTTAGAACCTTGACTACCCTCTGGCAAATTTAGTACAATTCATTATTTTCTAGTTTTTTTCCTAAGTTGCATCTGCCTTAATATTAAAGACACCAAAGTATGAATAATTCAATGGAGCCCGGGTTACGTAAAAGGATAAGATGGAGAACTCTGCTTAGATAATTAGAATAGCTTAAAAGCATAGTGTATCCCAAAATAGTATTTTCATCTCCCAACTACTGCCTTCGCTTCTAAGAATTACTCAGGAAAGACACAGTATCTATATCACAACGAGACAGGGAGGAATGACTAGAAAATACAACTATACTAATAGGCATCTAAGCGACTGGCATACCTAGGACACACTACGTCTCGTAACAGTGGGTCACAGCTAACAGAAAGGTCAAGCAACTACCTCCCATTCTACAAAGGACAGAAGTAAGCTTGTTATACCTGGTGATGTCATTCCATGTCTCTCACTGTTTGGGACAGAAACACTAGCATCACATCACAGGCAAAGGTGGTCACTCAAAAATGCAAAGCCAGAGGTCATTACATTATCACAATTCCCCTTTATGAGTCAAAAAATGGCAGGTAACTTAATTAGTCCTTGAAAATGGATACTATAGTAAATAACATGAAAATGTATGTATTACCTATTACGAGTCAACCAAGGGGGATGTGCCCAAGACACTTCAATAATTTTCTAAATGTCTATACCTCAACCCACTGAAGCTGCATGGGATGTTTCAAAACATATTAATATTTCTAACCAAAGTGTTTTTATCTAACACTTATGTTTATGATCCTAATGCAGATTTACCAGAGCTAGTATTAGGTAAGTAAAGTTAAAGTAACCTGCGGTCGCATCTGTTGCCACTGTAAAGAAAGACAAGTCAATGCTTCCCCATTTTCCAGTGTACGGTTTCGGGCTCGCTGCTACTTGGCACCCAGGTAAGGAGCGCCATGGACAAGGTAAAGTGCGGTTTTCTGGAAGTAGCCCATTTTCTTGATTGACATCTATTCTCCCCCTCTGGAGCCATTCACATGCATTTTGAAATTACAAGATCCAACAGCTTAGAGTGGAGCTGATAAAGCAGGCGCAGTGACTTTGACCCCTGTGTGGACGAACCGTGGAGAAACCACCACCAGCCCCACCCTGGTCCCAGGTTGACCAGTTAGCTGTGTCACCAACACAGCGTGGGGAAAAGCCACCACACCCGGCGATCAATGAGAAGCAGATGTCCTGCCCACTGACTACTGGTCAGTAGAATGAAAGTTGAATAACAAGATTAGAAAACGTGAGGAAAAGGCATTTTAAAATCCTTCTGCTTTTAAATCCTCACATTTTTTCATACACCTCACTAAAATGAAGTCCTGTGTCAGACAAAGACCCCATCACCCCACACACCACCAGACCCAGAAAACCCCGGAGAAAAAGGCCAGAAATTGCTTCACAAATGTCAATTTTATTGACACTAGTGCACAACTGAATACAATAATTGCAAAAGAGTTGGAACTTGTCAAATAGAAATAGTGACAACAAATTAGAACTGCAGTTGTTTCAAGGTGCTACACTATTCTCTTTAAAAAAAAAAATCACAGAAAGTCAAAGTTTATCACTACATATAGGAATTAGAAAAGAGAAATTCTGGCAGTCTGGAGAGCAAAACATTTCATGCATTTGTGAGTTGCTGTTTGAGAGTCACTTTTTACTTGTCCACTGTAATCTGGCAAAATTCGGGGCTTACCTTTAGCTCTCACGCTGTGCGCGAGATCGGGTGAGGCAGTTATAAATGAGAGCATGCTGGGCCTTGACCCTGCAGGGACGTGGAACGGAAAAAGCGTTCACCTCATTGAAAGAGTTGGAGCCGAGAATAGAAAGGAGTTAGAAGGCGAGTGTGAGGGGGGCCCGGGTGCGAGGAAGCAGAACAGTCAGGACCTGGTGGCATCCTCAACAGACAGGAGACAAACTGCCACCCGGCAAGGGAGAAACAAGGGTGCACAAGCTCAAATACAGCCGCTTCCATCCTCGCAAGGTCAAAAGCTATTGTCCTTACTGCACCCCCTGGGAGCACTCATGTTTAGGAGACTGAGTAGGCTGAAAGGATGAGGTAACAGACTAGGGTTCCTGGAGAGGTGCCACCCTGCCAAGGCATGACAGTTCAGAGAGAGTCCTTCGGATTTGGAAGAATCCCTGTCGGACCACATCAGAGACAGGAGGTACAATACACAAAGCTGATTGGGAACTTCACAGTCCCCCATGTACCCAGGGAAACCTGGGGACAGTGGAGCATCAGCCCATGGGGTGTTGGGGGACAGCCTCCTACACTTCACTCCGCAGCTTAAGATGAATCAACTCCCTACTTTACGCCTGCAATACTCGGGCTCGGGGGGATACCCAGTCAGGGTGGTCACTTTCCTTTTCCCAAGAGGCTACTCTAGCTGGCATTGTGTACATTCCCAGTGCCTAAAAAGGGGGGATGAGTGTATTTAAACAGTAAGACCAACAAATCAATAAATATCAAGCAGTCTGGTCTAGAACTCTATCTGCAATTCTAAGGAAGGGAAAGGTCTGAAACTCTAAAGTTCAATTTTGCTAACTTGAGTTGCATCCCTGGAGAAGAGGCCCTCTTCTCTCTTTGCAAGTGAAACTACTCAAGGCTTTGAAAATGTATAGGTGACACGGTCCAAACAAAAATACGTAGAGCTCATTTACCATTCAGTGATAAGGAAATATGTCAACAAGGGCAATTAGAATTTGGCAGCTTGATGAGTAATTAAAATTCTCTTTTGACTTTGAGCCAGAGTATGTGGCAACAGTCTGTACAAACTGGTGTCCACACCAGCAGGTATGAAAAGCCGTGTCTACAGAAGGCCAATGTCCAAGGTCACAGAGTGATTAGAACTACATAGAAGCGATTTTCACTGAAGTAGTCCATTTTACAAAGAAGTAAACAAACATGGTTCTGTCGTTAGATAAAATGAGCCCAATTTCATTTATCCATACAGCTGTTCACATCTTGCTGTCTGTCACCTGCTTTGAAGGCACAGCCCCAGGCAATGGGGAAAGGAAATTGTGACTGACATTCATTGCTACTCAATGACATTATTAATGCCTTGGTATTTCTATCACTTTTTCCTTTACGACAAATTAACAGAAAATAATTTCTTTCATCAGAGAGCTCTAGGTAAATAATTTCGGGGGACCTCATGGGGAAGCACCTGATATTAAGGCAATAGATAGAAAATAGTTTAAAGAGATTAGAAAAAGATTGGTTATACCCTAGAAGTCTAGAAGCTTCTAATGTTTTAAAAATTATTTCCTGTTTCCAAAAATTGCCCTGCATTTTTTTAGTCATTCATTTACATTTAATAACTCTCAAATCCTTCGCCACTTCCCGATGATTTCATGACACCCCCATCCCTGCCACCATTAATCTATATGAAGAGGTTTGAGTTTATGTCATCCCCATGGACTGGAAATGCCCCTAATAATACTGCTCTCAAGGGAGGTATTTCTAGTAATTGCTTTTTAAAATCCTTTTAAATGTACACATTCTCATGGCACAAACAATTATGGAACTTCAAATTAGCACTGCTATATTTATGGATTTCAATTTATCACCCAGCTCAGAAACTGTCTGAGCTGTTCTATCTTTTTAATTTAAAATACATTCATCATTCTTCCCTCCTGGCTGCTCCAGGCATCACCCGGACTGCAGCACTGCTCGATCCGCTCTGCAGCGGAGGGACTGAAATGCTCGGGGAGGAGCCTTTATCATCAATGACACAGTCTGTGTCTTTCCTCCTCCTTTGGGGTTGGGCACAAGCTGAGTCTTACTCATCTGCCTCCTTGGCTGGTGTTAAAACCTTAAAACACAAACTCACTCAATCCTGGAAAAAGAAAAATGTTTCCATTCTATCTTTCAAGTAATAAAAATGGCACTTCCAATACTTCATTGGACCGGTGCTGTTTTTTAAATCGGTCAATAAGCTGGTCTCCTTTTTAAACTAGACAGGTATTATGAGAATATTCACGGAAATGAGAATATTGATTGCTTTCTCAATTTCTCTTTTTGAAATTTTGCAAAGTACCATTATAAAAAAATATCTAGGCATTTTCTTCAACACTGTCCCTTGCAAAATAAATAAAATTATTTATTTTGCAAGCTTCTAGATGCTGCTTATCTATCATGATTTATCTCTTGTTATTTGGTTCTAAAATATAGAAGATTTTATCACTATGTACCCACAACATGCTCCAGAGGCACATGCAGGAAATACGTTAGAGATGTAGGTGTTCATCTATTTTTTTTTTTTAAGGCTCTATTTAAATCTCTAAAAGAATACAATGAAATCTCTGAAGAGATCATCTGCATTTGAAAGCCAGTTATCAAAAACGAGCAGTATTATGCTGAATAAGAGGCAGTCTCCTGAGCAGGCAGCGCTCCCTACAGTCTCATATCTAAGCTGGGTCCCCTGCCCCGTGGATGCAGTGTAAAACACTGGCAGTATTTTATTGAAATTACAAGGTTCACGAGAAAAAGCAGGTTATAGGGTTACCAATATTAGCGGTGTTGTCCTCTTTTTAATACTTTAGGTGGTGGAGGGTAATGTATATGTGCTTCTTACACCCAGTTCCTTTAAGAAAAGTTTTACAAGCAGCTAACCACCGACTTCCCAGTTCATTATCAAGCAATTCAGAAAAGCAAAAGCGATGCAACTTGCAGAAAAATAAAGAGAGAAATGCACTAATGGGAGAATGGTAGTGAATGCACTAGCATGTTCTTACTCATAGGGAAGAGACAAAGGAGAATGTGCCTCTGTTTGAACATGGTGGTGACGGAGGTGACGGTGGTGCGGGTGACGGAGGTGACGGTGGTGCGGGTGGCAGCAGTGTTTGGGTTGGGGAACATGGTGCTTCGTACC